AGTGCAATATTACATCCAACTACCCATCATTTTGGAATATGGTCAAAGCATGAAAAGCACTATCTTGTCCACATAGAAACACAAAGCTATTTTAGCCTAACTTTACGGTTTGACTAAAATTAAGGTGAGCGCATAATTAAGAAAGATTCATTTACTTTCTGAATACAATCACGGAGTGGACAATTTTTTGATTTATTGATTTGGACACTATTATGTGAATTGAACACATATTTAATACACTTTGGGTTTTTTATTTTTTAATTTTAAAAATATATTTTAAAATATTTTTCATCTAGATAACATTTTCTCATTACAAAAAATATATTTTGATTATATTGAATATTTATAATAATTTATAAGAGCACACATTGCACTTTTAAAATATAATAAGGTTTATCACTTGGATTTATATATAAATTTTTTCATAATTATTTATTGACATTAATAATAATAATTAATAATAATTTATTTACTTACAGTGGAGCGCGACACAAATTTAATATTATACATAAGTCAGGGATTTCCATTTTCAGTTTTCTCAACCACATCACAGTAATGCCTAGCCAGTGTGTACCATGACATGGTGTCTGCCTCCTTGTTGTTCTTTCCAGGGTGATAATGTTGAGAGAATTCAAACTTCACCAGAAGTGCTGCCTGAAGTTGCTCCAGAGCACCAATATTAGCAGTTTGGAGATGCAGGTTGGTGTCAATCAGGCATTTTGATGTGGATCTGCATTGCTGGGCACAATGATTGATGGTGAATTAACATTGTAGGACTTTTTTTTTGGCATTCTTATTAAAGGTTTTGTCAAAAATGGTGTCTGTCTTTTTACTCCCTACGCATTTACATGGGGGGCAATATCTCAGGGCTACATTCAAATTAAAGTGGACTTCCAGATTCTGATAAGTCCCCTTGCCCACAGTCTCCCACAACCACCTAGCAAAGGTTATGGGGAAGGGGCCCTGGTCCTCTTCAACATTCGGACAAGGTGCTTGCCACAGGGAGTCCCCATCATCAAGGTACCCCCCAGGGCCGTGAATAAGGAGGTAACACCATTCCTCCTGTAAAGGGCCCAGGTCAGCAGGAAGGCCCAAGCAGCTGGATGAATTGGATGTGGGCAGGGAGGGTGATCGGCACAGTGGGGAGGGGGGGCAGTTACTGCAGGGGGAAATGTATGGGGTAAAGGGAGGGTGATGGGTGTGGTAGAGGAAAATTACTGGAACCGATCCCCTGTATGACTCTCTCTGCAACAGCTGAAAACTGGCTTCTTCTCCTCTCCCTTACATTGGTTTTCAGCTGCTACAGAAAGCACCATACAGGGTATCGGTTCCAGTTATTTCCCCCCACAGCACCCATCACCCTCACTTTGCACTATACATTTCCCCCTGCTGCCCAGGCCCCCATGTGTTCCCACCCTCTCAGTGCTGCCAGCTTCCTTCCTCTCCTTACCACCGGCAGCTGTAAGCACACAATAGGATCCTCTCCGGAAGGAGAGTGGGACATATGTAACATTTACCAGCCCCTTCCTTTCCTAAATTATCACAAGTGATTGGTACCAATCACTCACTGTATTCATTCATAACTGAAGCATAATGAACTGTTTTTTTTGGGGTGGGAGGGGGACCTGTAAGGTTGGCTGTATAGGGGTATAGGGCCCCGTGATTTCTAACAGCAGTCCTGCCCCCCCCCCCCCCCCCGTTGCTATAGTAGGTTGTATACAGTACATCATACAGATCAACTTAAGGGCATCCCCCAGACATTTTATTTATTGGAATCTTGCATTTTTATTGATTCACGTGAGGCACTAGTAAAGCACTACTAAATCCCACACAGGATTTAAAAAAAAAAGTCGCTTTAGTATATGTCCCTCAGGGCAGCTCCCAACCCCTCCATGTCATTTGTTTTACAATCACTTTCCTATTAGCCTAGATAATAGCCATTACTGTTTTTTAGTATTCAGCTCCCCTTGACTTCACTGGGGTTCACATTTGGCACCCAAATTTTAGTAACACTCGCCAAACCTTCCTCAATCTGAACCTGCCTTGAAAAAATCCCAGGTACTGTATATTCGGCCTGTCCCTACTCCTGTTGTTCCAGTCCCCATTCACCTTTCATGTGGCCCTCTTATTGACTTAACCAGTGCAAAAGCTTTTGAATTGGGGCAGATGTATGGGTGTATTACATGATGAAATGCCAATAATATCCTGCCAGCACAGAAAAAAATCTGGCCTTGGTCACAGTCCTTGGGGGACCCCATTCCTGTATGGACGTTGCTTTCTCTGGATTGGGGAGTATGCCTTGTCTTTGTCTGGAGATGACTAAGAACTCAATCTCACATTTAAATAAATGGAACGTCATGGGTTCGAGCTTTAGCCCATACTGGTGCTGCTGGGTCAATATAGCATCTAAGTGTGCAAGATAGTTCTTTAATGTGGCAGAGAACACTGCAACATTTGCTTAGATAGACAGCACTTTTTTGCCCAAAGGGAATCCTTTTGAACTGGTACAACCCCATAGGAGTAATGACAGCAGTCTTCAACCAGTCTCCTTGTTGACAGGAATCTGACAATACTCACCTGTGAGGCTGAGTGTGGAGACACATTTGGCATGTTCTAGGGCAGCAAGGGATTCCTCAGTATGTCAAAGATAATAGGTTTTTCTCATGGTAACAGCATTCAGGTTCAGATGCCTATAGTGCACACAAAAGCTGAGTGTGATGTCCTTCTTCTTCACCAAGATGATTGTAGCCACCAGTGAGCTTTTACTCTCTTCAATCACCCATGGTTGCAGCATCTGTTCTAACATCTGCTCAAATTCTTAGAGATGTACAGAGGCATGCTCTGATATCTCTTCTGGATTAGAGGGCTCTCTTCTGTGGGTATCTCATGCACAATTCCATTGCTACAGCCCAGATCACAGTCCCCCTATAAGAACACCTTTATCCAATTAACCTTACTGCTTCTAACTGAGTGGGTATCAGTTCCTCAGTGGCCAATTTAAGGAGTGTTAGTATTTGCTTTCCTGCCCATTTCATTCCTGACAACTATTGAGTCATTATTATCTTGCCATGCATTGGCGACTATGAAACTCTCGTTGCTCTATGTGCCTCACTAGAGGAATAGGCATCATTGATTAGGGCAGACAGAGCGGGAGAAAGAGAGTCATGGTGTTACAGATTATAACAAGTACCTTACCTTGCTGAACCATTGTGAGAGTCCTGACGACAAATGTAGTCAATTCTGAAAGCAAGGATTTTACAAAGACAGTGTTCCTTTGCACGTCATGGTGCAGAATTTAATGGGAAGTATGAATTATTGAGGTATCACAACCTCTGTCCCAAAGGGAACCCTTACGTTGCCAGCTTCTCTACAGATCTCTGTAGAGCATTGGCAAGGGCTTTCAAGTGTTTTCAGAACATGCAGCAACTGAAGGATTTCCTCAGGTGGTCCTAAGTGTGCAGCATCTTAACCCTCATTCCCTGTCTTGCCCTGTATCAACTGCAGCCTCCACATCTTAAAGACGCATGGGATCACTATACCCCTCTAGCCGAGGTCCTACCCTCACAGCTCCAGATTCGGTCAGGTAATACCAACTACAACAATTTTAAAGCAAATTAATTACCCATGTCTACATTCACAATTAAAATACAGTATGTAATTAAATCACCATTTGGGGAATGCAGGAATTTAATAAACAGCAGTTTCCACTTGTTTAAAAACGAGCAAAAGTATATTATTTAACTTTAAAATAAATTTACAGACAGAGCAATCTTATTCATAAGACAAATAGGGTTCTTGGCCTACTATTCTAGGTGAACTCACCACCAGTGCTGGTAAAGTAACACACTGTAACATTTTTCTGATACAAATTATTGGACAAATTCACTGTTATTAATTCCCTCCACCCTCCTGAGTGCAGAGCACTGCTTTAAATACTTACCTGTCACCCCCAATCCCCCCACCCCCTCATTCCAGTAAACCTCACTGCCCTGCTCGGCGTTGCACAGGATTTCTTCAGAAAATGTCCCAACCATCCCCACTTTCTAGTATAAACACTTGATACAACCAATGTAAAGCAAATTATACAAAATAGCTAGAAAACAGTTTACCCATAGGAATAAATAGGGCTATGGTGAGTGTGTGCACTTTAAAGGAGGAATGTTATAGGCTGTAAGCATCATGCCGTGAATATTTTTTGACCAGGAATGCAGGTAGGAGTTTAACAGGCACTCTGCACTTGGGGGGTGGGGAGATTTATTAAAGGACAAGTTCACCAAAAGTGAAATTGTCCTTTAAGTAACCTAAATGATCAAAAAAAATCTTAACTGCCAGTTATACTAATGAGCAAGCACTTCCAGATGTCTGCAAGTCAGTTTTTCTGTGCTTCAGAGTGTGCTTTGGTTTACATGCAACTTATTTACTTCCTGTGAGTAACAAGTAGCATCCTACTTACACCCAGGGGATCTGATAAAAAGGTCTGTTGGATCTCTTAGCTTTTTCACCATGGAGCAGAAGTTAAGCACATAGGGGTTGAAAAATTTACAGATGCAAACAAACCTACACACCTTTATTAAAAGTTAAAGGTAAGCAAGTAATTCTAAATGGTTAAGTAATTCAAATGGTTTGCCATCTTTATGTTATCCTTTTGTTTTTACCCATCAATAGTTTAATTTCTTTACTGTGAAGCCTTCAGCCCACAAAAATTGATTAAAATGGAAAAACTAACCATCCTTTGAGATGCCTACAACACAGTTCCTATACGGTCATAGATCTACTGGATCATTGATATGATGTGAACTACTGTGACTGCAAATGACATTTAGAAATAAATGGATCCTGCATTGAAATTCACAACAAACCAGGAACTTTCAAACCAGTGATGTAGTAAAAAATACCATTAACTACATTTTACATTGGTAAGAAGTGTGAAAAGTATTGCAGTGTGATTTTGACTGGCACGTTTGGTTCTCTTTGTATCATATATAATTTAGTCAAACATTTATTACTGTTTTCACATAATATACAAGTAAGAGAGATGCATAGCATTTTAGTAAAAAACCTGTAGAGAAGATTGCGTGTATTATTCAGTGCTTACATGTAGTAAATACTCCAGCGAAGACCCAACACTGTCCATATTTAACTGGTAAGCTAGAACTTAAGAATTCTAGTAGGATGTCTACACTTCCAGTCCAAGCAGATGGAGCAACACCGTAAGTGTAATCATTATTCCAATTTCCCGCAACCACACCACTGTCATCTCTGGCATTTATCTAAAAAAAAAAGAAAGCATTTCCGTTAAAAAAAAAAAATGGACATACATACAATTCTCTATTTATTAAAATAAGTACCTGTAATGCTTTTTATATAACAAACTATAATAGCTATCTTGTTTAACATCCCTTTTGTATTCCACAATTTATTGTTTGTATATTCCAGTTCCCCAAACAAAGCTTGTGATCTACCTAACCCTAAGAAATAATAGCGTTGGGTCTGGCCTGTGTCACAATTAACAAATGATACAGGACCAGACAATACAAGTTTTCTAGATCTGTATTTGCTAACAAAACAAGGCTGCTAAATATATTCTTAAGATCTTTTATTTACTTTACACTGGTAAAGAAAGGACGTGGGTAGCTAAACACTACCATGTACCAATGCAAAGAAAATGTTTTCAATATAGTTCAATGAGCAGTGGGTCTTTTAATAAGGCATTAAGACAACATTAAAATACAAAATTCCATTAAATAACATGCTAGGATGATGCCTTAAGCCTACATGTGAAGTGCCACACTTGTACTTGTACTTTTACTCCAATAAAAGTGATATTTAAAAAAAAACAATTACAGCTAAATGACCATTCTGATTCCCGACCCACTTCGGTTTATAGGCAAAGCAGCTAAGTTATCCTGGGTGATGTCATTTTTGAGACTTACAGTGGATTGACATGGCTAGGCAATGCGAATGATTTCATATTTACATTGGATTCATGTTTTGTCACTGTTTTCAACAGTGTGTGTTTTTGTGTACATCTTTTTGTGAGTCAGTAACAAGGGTTACTATGTACCCCATACTCATTCATGTGTGAGGGAGAGTTCCAGATATCTGGGACCTCTTCAATTTAAAGTGACATTCCAGATTCCAGTAAGTCCCCTCACTGGGACAGGGATGTTGGAATGAGGCCCTTTTCACCACCAACAGAGGGACAAGGTGTCTTGCCAAGGGAGCACCCTTACAAGGCACCCTATGTTAAGACCTTGCGGCCAGGTATGGTTCAGCATATACTTGCTGCCCTTCCATTTCCTGGCCAGCCAGGATGCATGCCTAGATAAGGGTCTGGAATGGATTTTTGGAGAACCCTACACAATTTTTTTTTGCATGGGCCCCCCACTTAAAAGTTAATACCAAACACTTAACCAGGTATGCAGCTGGGTAAGCAGCAAAGCAGAGGACATCAAGCATGTATCCCCTTCTCCTGAAAAATACCAGACCACACGCCCTGCAGAGGAAAAGCAAAAATAATAACAGAAAAAGGTATTGAGTCTAATTTAAGATCAATGCTAAACCTTTATTGTGAGAAGGGTTTAGTATGAAATATTATGGTGGACCCATTAAAAAGAAATAAATTGGTGTGCCACCCAAAACTATACAAGACTATACAAGAAAGTAATGGTTTGAATTTCTGGAATAAAATGAATAAAATGTTACAAAAAATTACTGCAAAGCTTACATTAAGCCTGTACACACTATGAGAAAATCAGGTGAATGATCATCGAGTTTTCTCTAAAGTTTCACAGCAAGTCAAACCCGAGGATAGTACTAATTGTGTAAAAATTCTCGAACTACAAAGGTTTTTTTTTGTTTAACCACTTGCCCTCCAAAGGATTTACCCCCTTCCTGACCAGGCCATTTTTTGTGATATGGCGTTGCATTTTTCTTTAACAAAAAGAGCTTTCTTCCAGTGGTATTTGATCACCTGTGTGTATTTTATTTTTTTTGCGCTATAAACAAAAAAAGACCAACAATTTTGAAAAATATATATATATATATATATATATATTTTACTTTTTGCTATTAAACACGTCCAGTAAAAAAACTTAAAAAATCAAATCTCGTCATAAATTTAAGCTAAAAATTTATTCTGCTACGTCTTTGCTAAAAAAAAAATCCCAATACATGTAAATTAATTGGTTTACCTGAAAGTTATAGCGTTTACAAATGGTGGTATATATACTGGAATTTTCTTTTATTTACTAGTAATGGCGGCGATCAGTGACATATAGCAAGACTGCAGCAGACATTCTGACACTGGGGGGAACTGACTTGGTGTCACTGACATCCCCAGTGACACCAATACAGTGATCAGTGCTAATAAAAAGCACTGACACTGTACTAATGGCACTGGGCAGGAAGGGGTTAACATCTGGGGTGATCAAAGAGTTAATATATAAATTGTGCCGCGCTCCTGTGTATAAATAATTACAACATTCACTATTTCAAATGACAATTATTATTTATTCAATATATTGTTTTTATCACTATCATTATTTATTATAGTCACCAGCACAGTATGCGGTATTTATTTATGATGTTATAAGCAGAAGATAATTTTATTTTACACACTAGATATAAGTATATATATCATTCATTTTTACTTTGGATTGTCATTTGAAATAGTGAATATTGTAATTATTTATACACAGGAGCGCGGCACAATTTATATATTTAATTTTCTCACAGAACACTGTCTAATGAGTAGGTGTGAGTGCCAGCGAACCACAGGTGTATCATATATTGTGTTTTGTTTGTCAATTTAATTAATAGTAATAGTTTAGACAAACACCATAGTAGCTCACAAGTACACTCATTTATTTTTTGATCAAAGAGTTAACTGTGTGCTGTTTTACTGTGTGCTGTGTGTGCTTTACACTGTAAACACTGTGCTATGCAGAGCCATACAAAGAAGTGTGCAGGAGCTGACAGGGGAGAGATCTGTGTTGTTTTTACACAGATCTCTCCCCCATCTGTGATACTCGGCGGTTGCTGGGTGCCAAAGGGGAATCATGGGCCGGGACACGATGACTGACAGCCAAGGCCACAAATGGTGTTGCGCACCCCCCTACCTAGAACTGCACAACCACATATTTATATTTGATTTTGCGCAGCCGTGCCGCTCTGTAGCAGTATTTCTTCTATAGGGCGGCATGAAATTGGTTAGCATAGATTATTGTTATCTAATGTTTCTGATCATGTTCAGTCTTTAATTTCTGATTTTTCTCATACGAAAAACAGTACACATTAAAAAAAATTGTTAGTTCTGTTCACGTACGAAAAACATTTTGGAGTTTCTCCCTTTGGTTACACTTACTCCTGGATCTGGACCACTTATTTGCCTTGTTTGACCCCTTGAACTTAATTCATAACTGAATATAGGATGGTGAATACTGCTTTTGTAATATTTAAGAGAATTCAAAGATAAATCATTTGGCAGGTATTTCTGCCTCTCAATGAGATTCGTTATTCCCACCAGTTGTTCTAAACTTTTTACACTATCTGCCTCCATTACTATCTACCACGTTACATGCTTTTGAAACAATGTTAAAATGTTCCCGTCAATTAAATCTTAAGTCAACTTCTTTGACTTCCCTAGAGCTTCTCTGCGTCTTTGATGTCACAAACCATTATACTTTGTCATTGTTCAGTCAATTACTGTAAATGACTTATTGCTGAACATTAGATATTGGGCTGCCACTTTCTATCATGCACGACTAAAAGCATAATAACATGTTTCTTCTTATAAGTAAAGAAGCCTTTCATGACTTTCTATATCCTATGCAGCTTCATCATTTACAGTTCAAAAGGGAAACTAAGAGACAATTCACAATGTCACTATGTTATATAGGATATTGCAGTAAAGTAGGATATCATCACATGCAATAAGGGACAATGACTTGAGCAGGCACAGTCATAAAAATACAAAAGGTGGGACCATGGGCGGACTGACAACTCATGGGGCCCCTGGGCAATAGGGGATCATGGGGCCCCTGTGTCCTTGCCCAAACTCAAAAAAGCCTATGAAAAAGGTACCAGGGGCATCTCATAGGGCCCCCTACTGACTCCGGACCCTCAGGCAGTGCCAGAGTTTCCAAATGATCAGTCCGCCCCTGGGTGGGACTGCATGTGCAATCAGTCAGCTCATAACTAGGAAGGGTAAAAAATAAAGTAAAAATCTCACCAGCTTAAATTGGTATGCAAATAAGGATATGACTTACCTTTGAACTGTAGCTTATTAAAAGTACCCTGAATGACATGACACTGATGAGAAGTAATCACTGCGTATCCAGACAACTATTCACGTTTACTTGTCTTCCATTGCTTTTTAAGCAGGATTCGTTTTTTAAAACCTCGCCCTTTTTTGACAAGTGGCAAGGAATTTAAAAGCATTTACTGTTAGATCGTGAATGTAAAGCCTTGTACACACAATGAAAATATCAGACGAATGATCATCCATTTTATTAGTCTCCATATTGAAAGTGGAGAAACTCAACTTATGAAAATTCTTGTACGACAAAACAGAATTTCGGAAGTGATGTAATGTATTGTATTGTATTGCATTTTCAGATGAAAACTGTACCGATTAAATGAAAATCGTATGATTTGGTATCATACAAGAAACGTTTTTGATAACGCCCTGGAGGAGGGGCGAAATGAGTCAATGTAACTTCCGTGTTCCTACACTACGCCGTGACATCATATCCGGTGAGTGGAGCGCACGCTGGATGCTGCATTCCAGAGCCATCTTTGCTGTGTCTGACCACAACTGCCAGTGTATAGGCTATAGGAATCTTCATTGGAAAATATTGATTTCTCTGTCATGGAAAATGATCAAAAGGCGTTTTTTCTCATGTTAAACATGTGAGTGCATATGATGCATTTGATTTTTAATAATTAAAATGTTTGTCAGTATTACACTATCAGTCTTTTCTTTTTTACACCTATCGATTTGTGTGGGAGATCCCTTTGTTGGAGTTTCTTCTGAGCAGTGAAAATCCCTATTGTGGATATCTAATATCCACAAGGCATATTTGACTCTTAATTCTAGAGAGTCCAATATATCTGGTGAGTGCAGTATATGTTGCATATCACGGATGGTGTGAATACACTGACATTTCTGTATACAGCACGGTTTTGTTGAGTTTGGAGCACGTTGGATTTGAATATTTTTTATCTCTAGGATTGAGACTTTATTTTGGCACATATACATATTTGGCCATTTTTTATAATTTTTATTATTAATATTTTAATATAATATTTCTTCATATTGTTTTCATTAATTTCATGCGCTGTGTTTTTCATTTCACAATTATTATTATTATTATTATTACTACGAGTTTATATAGCGCCAAAGGGTTTGCTCAGCGCTGTACAATAGGGGGGGAGTTTATTATTGTTTGATATTTTGTCAACAAAGAGCAGCAGTATTGGTTAAGGGTTTAATTATTTAAAAAACATTTTTGGCGCAGGTGTTTTATTTATTTAAGAAAAGCTTTTTTGTTTGTCAGATAATTTCAGATGAACTGTCATGATCGGTTGTCAAAAGCTGTGTACTAATGATCAGATTATCATATGATCTCTTCGAAAGTGGTATTTTTCGTATGATTCTCTGGTTGTACATACGAGGCTTATGACCAAGGCTGCAGTTACGGCCAATTTGACAGGGCCCCTTCGCCAAAAAACCCAGGTTACGTAGGTTTCAGTTATGAATGAACACAGTGAGTGACAGTTACCGATCACTCATTGTGTTCGTTCAGGAAAGGAAGGGGCTGGTAAATGTGACATATTTACTGGACTCTTCCTTCACTCTCCATCCTGAAAGATCCTATTGTGCTTGAAGCTGCTGGTCGGAAGAAGAGGAAGGAAGCCTGAAGCACTGCGAGGTAGGGGCACACAGGGGGGCCTGGAAAGAAGAGGGAAATGTATCATGCACGGGGAGGATGATAGATGTGGTGGGGAGGGGGGTGTGATTACTAGAACCAATCCCCTGTATGGCTCTTTCTGTAGCAGGTGAAAGAGGGAATAAGGAGAAGATGCCAGCTTTTAGCTGCTGCAGAGGGAGAGCCATACAGGGGATTGGTTCCAGTAATTTCACCCCTGCTGTGCAGATCACCCTCCCTGCCCACATCTGATTCACTCAGCTGCCTGGGCTTCCCTGCTGGCCTGGGCCCCATAAAGGAGGACTGGTGGTGCCCCCTTATCCAAGGCCCTGCTTATGATAGGTGTAGAAGCTGGCGTTCCTATCAGCCACAAGTTGGAAACACTATTTCACACAATTGCCCTATGGTTAGGGAAAACAGTTTTTCTTTGAGATAGTGTAATCTGCATTTGGTTGTTTAGGACCAAAAATGCACCAAAGCACAAGAAAATGTGTAATAGAAACATGCATAACTACATCCAAGAGCTTTAAATTATGGGTGAAATCATATGTAAAAGCTGGATGACAGACAATAACATATGCCAATTAATCCATTGAAATATCATAAAATGTGGTTTAAATTCAGGTGGTGTAAATATCTAAATTTGACATGGTATGAGTCTCTAAAACTCTGTACAACAGCACCCAGACTGGGAGACAGAGGGGTATATCTAGAAGCCAGTCACGTGTGCTGTATACCCATGTACTGATAGAAGAGAGCAGAAGAATCACTCACCAATATTCTGCAGCTCCTTTACTGTCCAGTCACAGGGTGGGAGAAAGCTGTATTATTGTAATGGCAGCAGAGTCAGGTCACCAAGATAAATCTGTCAGACACTGTATGTCAGTTCCAATATAGGCATCTTAACCACTTTCCCACCACCCCATAGCAGATGTACTGCTACAGGGCAGCTGTGCTGTGCAAAATCACGTACATTTATGTGATTTTGCATTTCCAGGTAGGGTGCACCGCAAGCACGCCTCCCTACCCGCACTGCTTTTGGCTACTGAGGATGTTAATCACCGGGTCCTGGCCAGCAATTCTAATCTGGGACTTGATCATCCGTGAAGCTGAGAGGGGAGAGATCTGTGTGTAAATAACACAGGACTCTTTCCTGTCAGCATGGATGTGCTGTTTTCCATCTCTCTACACAGCAGAGAGATAGTAAGCAGAAGGTCTCCTTAGTAAAATACAACACAGTACACAATCTAATCACTCCCTAACACAAAGTTAACCCTTTGATCGCCACATATGTTAACCCTTTCTTGCCCAGTGTCATTATTACAGTGTCAGTGCTTTTTATTAGCACTGATCACTGTATTAGTGTCACTGGAGACATCATTGGCAGTTATTCAGTTCCCATCCAGTGTCAGAATGCATGCCGCAGTCCTGCTATAAGTCACTGATCACCACCATTACTAGTAGAAAAAATAAATATATACAAATTACAGTATATATACCGCCATTTGAAGCCACTATAACGTTCACATGAACCAATTAATATACACTTATTGGGACTTTTTTTCTTAGCAAAGACATACATTTTGGCCTAAATTCATGAAGAAATTTTATTTTTAAAATTTTTTTATTGGATTCGTTTTATAGTGAAAAGTCAAAAATATTGTTTGTTTTTTTTCAAAATTGTCAGTCTTTTTTTATAATATAGTGCAAATAATTAAAAATGCAGAGGTGATCAAATACCACCAAAAGAAAGCTCTATTTGTGGGAAAAAAATGACATACATTTCATTTATGTACAGTGTTGCATGACTGCGCAATAGTCAGTTAACCTCCCTAGCGGTCTGATTATGTCAGTATTTCTGTGCTCAAAGCGGTACATTTTTTTGCATGGAAATATGTTGTTTTTTCATTGTAGGACTGTAATTCTTAGGAATAACTCACTGAAATCTGTCCGAACAAGAGTCTAGTAAACATCCCGGGTATGATAAAATTTGAAACACAAAATCATAAATTATAAAATAATAAATAATCCTAAAATATAATAATAAAAAAATAATTAAACCAATAACACTGACATTTGAAATATAGCGC